TTTCGGAGGGAGCAAAGATGGAGGGTTTAGTTTACAGCGTCGTGTTCCTTCCATCTTTGATGTTGGACGGGCATGATTGCCGGCAAGTTTGGGCTGAAGTTGGGATTTTGGGGTCTTGGCCTGATCTTGGCGGGTTGTGTGGGTGTTGGTGGTATCGGTCTCTAGCTCGGGTCTTGTATGTCTGAGGGATCTGGGACGAAGGGCCCCGCTTCTAGTCACCGTGTCCTTTCCGTCCATGGGGTTAGACGGGGGACCGCCAACGAGCTCGAGCTGAAGGCTGAGATTCTTGGTCGGCTTGAAGTTGTTGGTCTATTGTGGGCGGTTAGCGTGGGTCTCCGGGTCTCGGGTATCCATCTGGACGCGGGTTGGGCCCATTGGTGTTTTGGGCCAGTTAGGCGTTTAGTTGATAGTTTCTAGTTCGAGCTCCTAGGTCGTAGCCCTGTTCGTATGGATAGATGTTCGGTGGCGTTGTAGTGAGATTACTTGGTGTGGTTGTCTGCTTTGGGAAGTGAGGTGTTTTTTTTTTTTTTTCTTTTGTGTTCTTAGTGTTTTATGTGTGTGTATACTGTGTTTTTTCCTTCTTTCTCTCTCGTTGGGAATGCGTTTTGCATATTCTCCTGTTTGGAGCTTTTGTTTGTTTGTTCTCCTATTGGGAGCTTTTCTTTGTCTTTTCTCCCTTTGAGAGTTGTTAGTGTGTGGGTTGTAGTAGGTCGGGTTTTAGAGCACTCGACTGTGGATGTCTCTTCTTATTAGGGTTATATATAGGTTGTCTTTCGTCGCTCGTCTACGGCCACCTCCGAGTCTCACCTCCATACCATCGTCTACGGTGTCCCGAGACGGACCTTCGCCGGATCGGCGGCGCGTGTGGCCCACACGCGCCTAGTCTCTACTTCAGCGCTTCTAGTAGTTTGTGAAGCCCAACCCAACGCCGTTCGTCGCCGCCTTTTAGCCGCCGGCTCCTGTCGACGTCGATTACCTTTTGGTGTGATCGGTTTTGGATTTCGTAACCTTTTTAATTTTGGCTCATATTTATATTTTGACGGTTTCGTTATCTGATTTGTGCCTATATTTTTCATCTGTTTCGTGATATTGTGTTGATATGAGTTTTGGATATGGATCATATGGATGTGCATTCTCCCATTAGTGTTGTATTATCATGAGATAATTATAGTCTTCGGGCACAGTTTATGAAGAGTTTTTTTAATTGGGAGAAATTATGGCGGATGCCGGATTGTGACTGGTGATGTGTTGCCACCTCTGCATCCGTCTCTTTAAGGGGATCCCAATCCCACACCACATGCTCTTACCACTTACGTGATAAGTTGGAGGTTTGGGATATATAGTAAGAACCATCAGATTCTTACTTGGTTACGTAATACTTCAGTACCTTCTATTCAGGTGCAACTTGCACCGTTTGACAGTGCAAAGGAGACTTGGAATTTTTTGGCGGCTCGATTTCAGACAACAAGCTTGGCTCACTATTATCAGTTTTGGAGCACCTTGCATTCCACCAAACAACAACCGGGTCAATCGGTTAATGAGTTTTGCACAAGTTCAACCTATTCGGTATCGTCTCCGACATGCTGAGATTAGTCCGAAACACGTTGATCTTATTCAGATTTTGATGGCTCTTCGTCCAGAGTATGAAGTTCCCGTGCTTCTCTCTTACATTGCCATCCACGGCCTACTCTTAGAGCATCTCCAATGCTCTAATGTTGTTATAGAATTTTTTTTGACAAATGTCAAAAAATTAAATATGTTGTGAACCATGTAGGACAAATGTTGAGTTCACAACTATTAAATTAAAAATTCATCTCCAATGCACAATGTAGTCTAATTACAATATTATCTACTTGCCAAATAATAAAATATAAATATGAATTAATAAAATTAAATAAATAATTAAATGGTTTGAAGATGGTAATAATTATTATCTCTCTTCTTCTCATTGGCTAATTAGAATGTGGAATAGAATGTGGATGAACCACATTCTTCTCTACATTGTGGACATTAATTATGTACACATCATCACAACATTTGTGATCACATTGTACATTGAATGATGAAAAATTGTGATATTAATAAATGTGTTGATTTGGATTGTAATTTACCACTACAACATTGAGCATTGGAGATGCTCTTATATTAATAAAACACTTCTTTAAATTTTTTATTTATAATGACATAATTATTTATAATCCAATTCACAAGGTTGAAGCAGTTTTCTATTCCAAGGTGGAAGCCCAGCCACCCACTACTTGACATTGGCATAAATAAAAAATTAAAAGTAGAAAAAAAAATATAAATAACTAAAAAGAGATAGAGAGAGTGATGAAGCAGCAATAGAATTTAAATAAATATAAATTTCCACAAAAATATAAGCAGTTGGGACCCACACACCGCTCGAAGTTCCGTGAACCGTGTGTCTGACTCCAGTGTATTTTTTCCAACTCTCACTATCTCCAACCGTCGAATATGTAGTTATCTAAATCAACGGTTCAGATCCGTCCCATTTCTCCATACACCTATCTGCACCAGCTGCCAGCTAGGACTTTTATTATTTTTAAATTCAGAACAAGTCCACGTCGCTACTCATCCAACGGTCACAGCTTATCGCGTCCTCTCCGCAGAACGCATCTAAACCGTCTAATAAAGGGCCCACGTGTGTCAAGTACGTCAATTAAAAATCACTAAATTGGTCGTCTTTAAGACTTGGGCAGTGATCTACGAATAGGCGCGCTTCATCATTAAATGACTACTTAATTATGAGCACTGAGCAAATTCCACGAGTGCTGTACTCTATTTTATTTCCCATCCGATTTTTTTTTTTTATTTTTTTTGGTACAGGAACCTTCTGGTTTCCGAATTCAAATAGGAACTGACTAATTCGGAATCGAGCCGAGTAGAACCACAAGGACGGCAAAGCTCTCCCTCAAGAGTTTTAACACTGTTGCATTCTCAAGGCTGGAACACGAGACCACTGGTTAAGCTGGAAGAGACCCAAACCATCTCATCCAAACGCTATTAAATACCATCCGTTTTTTTTATTTAATTATTATATAAGGTGTTGATTAAGTAATATATTTATAGAAAACTTTGTTATAAAATAAATGCGTTGGGAAAATTAATAATTATTTGAATACAAAAGAATCTGATCTAAAAAAATAAATAATTAATCTCGTTCATATAAAATTGAATTAGTTGATATTGATATTTACACTAATTATTTCTACGTTGAAAAAAAAAAGAAAGAGAAAGAAATTGTGTGTTTGAATTCAATTATTTATGGGATGAGGTGGAATTAAATATTTTTCTTTTAATTGTGTGCGAAATTTGACCGGGCTTCTGCGATATTTTCTGCGGTCACATAGATTCCTTGTGGATTGTCATGTTTTGCTTTTACTAAATGTCACCGTTGCAACCGGCTAAACCCGGTCAGCCCCACACCCCATCATCGCTTTGTTTGCTTGGTCCTGTGTACATCTCACAAAATCATAATATATCTCTTCCATCTTTTAGGAAAATGTTAAAGGTCCCGTTACATAATTATTTTATTAAAATTTGAAACAGTTAAATTATCACGTAATTATTAAAGATAGTTGAAATGCTAAGGTCCCGTTACAGAATCATTCCATCAGAATTTGTAACCGTTAGATTATCATGTAACTGTCAGAAATAGTATAACTAATAGTTACAAACTCCGACAAAATAGTTTTCTGTAACCAGACAGACCGTAAAATCTCTGTTCTTTTTCTTCTTCCTTCTAATTTAACATAGAGCATGTATGTTTATGAAACTTTTTTGGATTTGTTTAGATTTTTTTAGTTTGGTTTGATTAATTTTGAAATGTGGTATAATTAGTTGTTAGTGGGTATATTAAAATAATATTTAAAATAAAATAATTAAAATTAAATTAATGTAAAAGTAAGAGAGAGAAGATGTGATGTGATGGTTAGTTAAAATTATGTGAGTAGATTAAAATGATGTGATTGATACTATTTAATTATATTGAAAATATTGATGATAGTGAGATTGAGTTAAAGTTAAGTTAATAAAAATAGTTGAGTGTAGGAAATTTTTTAAAAATTTTTATAAACAAATATGCTCATAATTGTCACGTATTGTCCCAAAAAAAAAAAAATAATAATAATATGATTGTGAGCGTATCAAATTTTCTTTTTTAAAAAATTTATTTCGGTTGCAATAATTCCGTTCAAAAAAAGACTACTACACCACACTAGTAGAGCCGTTTGGCAAATGGCTTATTTATTTTAATTTTAATAATAATAAAAATTTAATAACAAGCTTCAGGTGTAAGGAAAAACTGACACGTCGGCGGACGAAGGTGGTCTCGGTTCCCATCGACGGCTGAAACGCCTCCACGGTGGCAGATCTAGATTCTCAGCTGTCGGATGAGATGTGGAATGGACGGCAGAGATCGATTCGCGGGACAAAAGGGATTGCA